ATGTTCATTTTTAAGGACAAATATTGATCCTCAATACTTGAATTATTTAAGAGAATATTACTGTATCAAATTAATGTAATGAAATACAGTTGAGTATGTTGTCATTACTATTATTGCAACAATTCAATGATTTGTTAAACTCCACTTGATAAAGTTTCGTTCAGTTTCATATAAAATTGAACCGTCGATTCGTGGGAACCTGTTTCGAACCATTTGGAAGTATAATAATTATGCACGTTTGGACCGCAGAGCGCATACGTTCTGAATCGTGAAAATGCGGAATGGAGATTGAGTGGAGAGCCGACCGTAATCATTAACAACACATAATTTGAATTGATTGCGCAAAACGGGAGGATCGCACGTAAACCGGATGCCGGTTTTTGGACCGTACGGGAGAGGATGGAGAGAGGAGCGTGCGGCCGTGATTAATCCTATAGCTCTGGAATTCGTGCAGCAATCCGGTTTTCGTTTAGCTATTCCTGCGGATATTCATCAATTCGGAAAGGGGGAAGAGGAAAACCTGGATGTGGTACTTTGTTCAAGTGCGCCTGGGACCCCAGCAGCAGCGAAAGATTGTTACTCTGGATCGGATTGAGTTGTAAATCAGGACGTTCTTCTCTCATCCTACTTCTACTCCGAATCCTCATTCCTCCTTCTTCTTGTGGTAACTTTTCGGACCGGAACTTTCCCGATTGGAATTCCGTTCGGTCACATGAAATACTTGGAGAGAAAATATGTGTCCGATTCGAGTAGGTGGATGCAACGAAATTAAATCCGCGCAGATTTACTCGTCGCACTTAATTGGATTAAGAGATGCGAATTTCACATAAATTTTGAAATGTCTAAGCTAAACTAAACGAAGCAATCAGTCTGCAAGTTTATACTTAATTATCATTTGGATTTACTTGTTCATTACATCACTAATAGTTCGAATAAACTTTAGTTCAAATAAGCTAATTATCAACCAAATAATTTCAAAGAAACTTCAGATGTATCAATTGTTTAACAATTTTAAAATTGTGATGAAACACAGTTAAAATCTTAATATCTTATTCAAAATAATTATATAAAACTCACCTATCCAACATTGATTCTATAGCAACATAAAGCAATTCCCTCTGACTTGGAACATCCTCATCAACGCTTCTCTTAGCTTCTTTGGATATGATCGGAGGATAAGATTTGATAACTTCAGAACTTTTCGTCGGAAGTCCATACTGAAACTGCAGATTCCATCCAATACCGAGCGACTGTTTCTTGCCCAATTTCACTGGAATGGCCAAGCCAATGATCAACTAAAAATCAAGAAAACATCGCTACGCATTATTATATTCCTTTCTTCTGTATCCATTCAGCAATAATATAGAGACCTTCCAGAGAGCTCTGAGTGGATAAATGAGATGCCTTTTGTTCCTCAGCAATATCTGCGAGTCCCCGGCTTTCGAACTCTGTGCAAATAATACGAGGGACAATAATAAGAGAACACATGTAAGCTTCATCGTCCTGAAGAGATGCTGGAAAACTGAAGCGAGGATTTGAATTGAATTGATACAAATACGCGCACAAGCAAAGACACACACACACGCAATGCGAGATGGCAATATATGATGTTTGGTAACCAGGGGCTGTTGATCTTATTACATATTTTTTTTCGAAAGAATCCCGTTTAAATTCCTAACTGTAATAAGTCACAGGTTCTCTGTTTTATTTTAACGAAGAAGTGAAACAGTGCAGCGGCAAATATTTGCCTAAACTGTTAACAGCTCTGGAAAACCAAAGCCGCACACGTCGAGCGAGAATGTATTAGGTTTTTTATTTTTTCTGCGCGAGTTTTGTTGGTTTTATACTTCTTTCGTGATGCAGCAAATGAAAACCACAAAGTGTCCGTGCTTTTTGTCAAATGTATTTACTGTTGTTTTTTTGTTGTTGTTTGTACAATCGCTATTTTTTGCGTTTCCTTCGTGCGCTCCACCTCGTTAATTACATTTAGCAATTAGTAAATGGTCGGGTCCAGGCCGGTGTTTAATGAGTAATTCCTGTACATTCCTGTCTTTGCGAGAAGCGTCGTGAATTCCTGGGTGTTCGGATGGAAGCAGGTGGGAACGGTGTGAACGGTCGGCGGATACCTGCGAAAACGATAAAATGAAATATAAATTACGTAATCTTATCTGGCGAGGAGAGGTGAGGAAAGGGTCGAATTGCTACCTGCCGTAGTCGCTAGACGTCGTTTTGTAGAAGGGATGTTGAGGCGGTCGTTTCTGGAGGCCGTAGCCGTGGAACCACGACGGATATTCGAACCTCTTCGGAAGTCCGCACGTCTTGTAGAAGTCCGACGTCCTGTAGAACGGCTCCGAATCGGGACACTGCATCCTCGAGGAAATTCTCAGATGAACGAATGAAAATGTGAAGTCGTATGCAACAAACGTCGGATGTCAGAATTGGGCTTTGTTTGTCGGGTATATCGATTAAACAAGTCGACGTGGCAACCGAAATCGAATCTAAAGGGAGAAGGTTTGAGTGGATGCATGGAAAGGGACAGGAGGTGGCTTCATTAAAAAAAAGAAAGAATGTAGAAGAAGAAGTAGAAAAAGAAGGAGGGCGGATTTATCGCGTGCCGATTTATCAGGCTGGGAATTGCAGATGAGACACTTTAGAGGCAGTTAACTTTACCTGGAACGGCCTCGGGACCGCAGCCGTTCCACCCCCGAACCATTCTTTATCCCCACAAACCTGGCTTCATTCCAGACCGAATCCAGAAAGTAAAAATACCAATTCATTAAAAAACAATTAATGCTTCTTGCAATATCTACTTAGAAACCTTAATATACTTAAAAAAACTAGGTGATTAATGTATTTTCACCATCAGCTAGTTAACAAAAATTTAGTACTATAAATAATCTTACGAAACAATACATAAAATTACGCGCATCCAGTAAACAATATATATATTTTTTTACTTATTGGGAGTAGAAAAATATAAAAAAGAGGATCAAATAAGAATAGACTCCAACTTGCCAATGTTCACAAGACATATATCAAAATGAAGAAATTGCAATGAATGGTAATGATTAGTAAAACTTTCATTTTGTTTGTTTTTAAAGATTTTCAATCCCTAGCATTGATCCTTAGTGTCGAATAACTGTTAAATTCAAATGGAACTCTTATTTTTGGAAATGATGATTTGATAAATCTTTGATATGCACATAAATAAAAGGTGTCCCAAAATTAACACAAGATTTGAATTAAATAGAAACACACTTTTTAATCTTCAGATTGCGTTTTTTTTATATCTGTGTTAAACTGTGTTTTCTATTTAATTAAAATCTTGCGTTAATTTTGGGACACCCTTTATTTATGTGCATATCAAAATACTAGCCTCTAAATCATCTTTATATAATTGATCTGGACTCTATATGAGCCGTTTATTTTGAAAGTGGCTTAAGTCTATTTTCATCTTTTATCAAGTTGGCACATAACTACTTCAAATCACTCCCGCATACTGAGAATGTTAACGAATAACTAGTTACTAAATTTATTTCTATTATCTAAAAATATAATTTAAATGTTTTTTTTTTTCAATTTTTTAAGCTATATGTAACGGACTTAAGCTTTTTTGTAACAAAACAAATTTTTATTTTGAAAGTGACCTAAGTCCTTTTAAGGTAAGCAAGGTCATATTATACACTTAATAATAGCGACTTTTTAATAGGATGTATAAAATTAAATCCCTTAAATGCGATTTAACATTGCAAGTCAACCATATATCTTACGTATATTTTTAATTTTGTAAAAACGTAAAACCTTAAGTATTTCAAATTAAAAATAAAAAGACTTAAGTCACTTTCAAAATGAACGGCTCATATATAATATGATTTATACATTTTTAGTTTCTGTTATTTATAATGCAAATTGTTATGTTTCGTTTTTTTTGTGTAATATTTTTTGTAGATCTTGTTAATGAATATAGGAAGGGTTATAAATAAAGCTATTTAACGATTGTTTAAAGGAGGCTATAATTAAAATTAATGGAATATTAAACGCGATTATCCGTCCGATTACAGTAATACGGCTAGAAATAAAATGGAAACGCACGCGAGTAATGAAACCGGAAATCCGGTTCTCGTGCCGCGACCGCCGCTGAAAATCGCATGGTACAGCCGACGGATAAGCGACTTCTGCTTGGGCTTCTCATCGAGAGCAGAAGTTTCCGCCAAATTGGTTAACTTGATCATGGAAATCGCTTCGTTTTCCATGCACTTGGACACATCCTTGTTCCACGTGAAGCCCCATTTGCAGACGCACCTATAAGAACCGACAGTATTCAAACAAGCCTCGCCCTCCGATTTCCTGCAGGTGTGCGCCTGTATGTAACATTCGTCGATATCAACGCAAATACCGTACGTCGAATCCCATACGAATCCTGCCGAAGGACAGTGACACGTTACGTTCCATCGATTTAAGACGATGTCCCGGAAGTTGGTGTTCTGGGTGCGATTCAAGTGACAACGCCGATGACCCGCAGGATTAGCGTCGTAGCAAGGGTTTTCCGGTGAGTTCCAGCAGCGCGTCGCCTCGTGCTGATGCTTCTTCGGGCAGCAGGGATCAGGGCAGAAGCTGTACTTGGAGCAGTGGAAGGGCTTTTCGTCAGCAGCCCGGAAGTCCGCGTTGTTCGCCCCGTAGAGCGGATCCAAGCAGCTTGCGAAGTTGTCACAAGCTTCGTTCAGATGAGCAAGATCCGGCACCTCGTTCATCGTGTACCAACACATGTAATAACTGGCCGTCGTCCGCCACTGGAACCTCTCCAGAGGTCCTTGGAAAGGATTCCCTAACCTCTCGTCCTTCTCCTTGAACTTCTTGCACTCCATTTCGACGCTCGCAATTTGGAGCGCGTTCGCCAGCGGCTTCCACTTCTGCTCGTAAATAATCACAGAGGTGTCGTCCGATCTCTTCAGATCCGCCTCCCTCACAGTTTTCCACAAATACTCGACGCAATTGAGGAACGAACCCTCGCAGTACTTCTGCACCTCCCAATGCAGCGTCCTCAGTGGAGGTCTCGGGAATCCGGCGTAATAAGTCCTCTTCGCCGTCCGGTTGTCCTTCTCGTATCTCCTGTCGTACTCGTTGAATTTGTGCGACCGCAGGCAATAAGCGATGTCCTTAAGAGCGTCCTGCAGCCACGTCCAGTCCTGATCGCTGTTGTTACTCCTTCCCACAAACGGGCTCTTCGTGGTAATGTCTGGAACGCTGCTGGTACTATTAGGAGCATCTGCTCTCACTAATCGCCCATCCTGCAGCGGCAAATCATCAATCCAAATGTACTCGTAGTCCTCGTGAACTGGAAATAACGTAGCAAAGGAAGCCGATATTAAAATTATATTTATCGCCGACGTTCGCACCCGCATAATAACTTAAGTGTCAATCGAATTTCACTTATGACAGACGTTGTATTTCACGTATTACACATTTAGGAAATAATACTCACATCCATTCATCAATAAATCAATATTACGTAATTCTCAATTTTTAATTTAAAAATGAATTCTTAAATTACGATGCAAGAACTTTTTTATAGTTAATGAAATGTTTTAAAAAAGATATAAATGAAAATTTCTATTAGAAAATATTTTTCTTCCTGATTTCGCTCAAATAATAACTTAAGTTTCAATATTCCAGATGCGAATATTCGCACGCTCGATTGATTTTCTCCTTTCATCTCTTCTCTGAATAATGATTTTTTTTACGCTTCAAAGCTTTGGATAAAAAATAAACATTTAAAAAGTTAGTTAGAAATTAACGTTAATGCAGACTATGAAATAAAAAACAAATTGTAATTATTTCCTTTTATATTCTAATTAATTAAACTTATTTACTAGAATATTTCCATTTTTTTATAAGTTAATGCAAAATTTGATTATAAAATTTAAAAAAAAATGTTTCGCACAGTAAATATATGGTGTAAGTTATATAATTAAATATATTAATACTGAAATCCCGACTACCATAATCCCGACGTACGAAATCCCGACTATATCGAAATCCCGACGTTCGAAATCCCGAGTGTATCGAAATCCCGACTGTATCGAAATCCCGACGTTCTAAATCCCGACTATATTGAAATCCCGACTATGTCAAAATTCCAACTACCATAATCCCGACTATATCGAAATCCCGACAGTGTCTTTTATTATTATAAATTTCTACAATAACATTTTTATGGTAGTCGAGATTTTGATATAGTCGGGATTTCAAAAGAAGGTATTTCGGTTGTCGGGCTTACGATATAGATCCATATGAAATCATTATTAACATTTTGAATGATTAGAGAAAACCTGTGCTGAAACCTATGATCCGAATAGCAAATGTTACAGATTCCTTATATAATATCTCAGCGCCATCTGTGTTCCATTAGCTGAGTCACTGGATGCTGCTCGTTACAGATGTTTTTTTTTCTGTACGTTACGTAATTTAGTTACGCATCAAACCAAGTCGGCAAATTTGAACTCTGCATATTTGAATTGATCCGCTGCATAAACTTTATATAGAATTGCGACCTCAGTCGAGTTCTAGACAAAGATTTAGCTTCATTTTGTTCAGCGCTGTAAAGCAATGAGTAAGGTATTGCAGGTGTAAGTAACTTTGACGATAATTAAAACCTATAATTAAAATGTTAATCAGCAAACGTTTAAAACCTAATGACTTTACCTTTATCTACTAACACAATTTTTGTTCAATATTGGATATGACTTAAAAACAAATTGAAAATAAAAATTGATGAATAATTAATAATTAACAGATAATGATTGTTTTATTTGTTTAATTTGATTATATGAACTGGTTCTATTTTTGTTTCAATAAATATTATAATTATTTATTGATTGATTTCTTTCTAGGTGCGTTATATTCATAATTGGTTATCTAATTTCATCAAGGGGATTTTGTGTACTTGGCGTTTTTGTTCGATAAGAAGTTCAGTTATCAATGAGAGCGCATGCCGCGTGGTCGATTCCCTCTACCTTTTTTTTCAACAGGATTTTAGAATCGCGTAAACAATGCGTAACCACTTGAAACTTATTTGTTGTAGTAGCAAGGTCCGAGCAGTGCGGATCAGAGGATGCCTTCACTCGACCTCGACGATATCCTGACGGAGTTGGGTCATTTCGGTACATTCCAGAAGCGAAATTACCTCCTCATATGTCTGGTCATAGCTTTTTCCGTTCTACCTCTGGGATACGTCTTCACGACGCGCAGCTCGAAGTACAGGTATTTTGTTAAATTTTATTATACGGGAATTGGTTACTATTCAGAGTTTCATAGGTGCTTCATAGAAGAATGCGATGGGGACACGGCATCTGCGTACGAGCAGGATTGGCTGCAGGATGCAATACCTTTAAAGGAAACGGAGCTGAGCCGTTGCGAGCGATTTGCTCCTGGAAATGCATCGGATTCGGCATGCAGCAATTTCGATCGGGGCAATGCGATTACGTGCGACAGGTTTATTTTCGAAAACGGTGATTTGACAATTGAAAGGGATGTGAGTGAGGGCGGATGAGCATGAGGATGGAATTGTAGTAGTAATATATATACTTTTTTTTTGGGGTAGTTCAATGTAACGTGCGATGAGAACCTGTGGATGCTCACGATCGTTGGGTCGATTAACAACATCGGGGAATTGGTGTGTTTGCCTCTGTCCGGGTACATTTCCGATAAGTGAGATTCAATTAAAATATAAATATATAATCGGATGTATTGAGGAGAGTTTTAGGTATGGGAGACGATCCATGATGGTAATAAGTGCGCTCCTGAGCACATTCTGCGGCTTAATGAAATCTTTCTCGTGGAATTACATAACTTACGTTGTCATGGAATTCCTGGACACCTCGCTGGGATCGGGCACGTACACTGCAGCCTACATATTAGGTAGTTTCATAATCGAAGCCTTGTTAATTCTTCAGATAATAGTTGTTTTTTTTTTCAGCTATTGAAATTGTTGTTCCTGAGCAGAGGGTTTTGGGTAATACTTTGGTGGCTTGTGCTTTCGCACTTGGAGAGGCTCTTTTAGGGGCTGTAGCTTGGATGTCGCCCTCTTGGAGATGGATGATGCGCTTCTTGTATACACCTGGTGTACTGATTACATTGTACTTTTGGTGCGTGCCGGAATCCGTGAGATGGTTATTATCGAAGGGTCGTTGGGAGGAGGGCAGGGATGTACTCAGGAAGGTGGCCAAGGCTAATGGAACTAGGATCCCGGACGAGACCCTGCAACAGCTCGGGATCAGAAAGGACGACCCCGAGGACGAGGAAAAGCAAGGGGAGAGCATCCGAAGCGCGCTCCGTTCTCCCGTCCTCCTGTTCCGCCTAATAAATTGCTCCTTCGCGTGGTGCTGCTGCACTTTCGTCTACTACGGATTAACGATGCACTCGGTGTCCATCTCCGGGAATTTATACTCGAATTTCATTGCCGTAGCTTTCATTGAAATGCCAGCATACTTAGTCTCCTACTGCACCCTGGACAAAATTGGACGTAAATCCTCGTTGGCCGGTTCCCTGATGGCAAGCGGCGCAGCCTGCACGGCGTTCATCTTCATTCCGGAAGGTTCAATTAATGCTTCCGTTTAACGCCCGATAATCCATCTTTGCATTTTTGCAGCGAACGCCGTCTGCAAATTGATCGCATTCCTCTTCGGCAAATTCAGCATCACGATTGCCTACACGACTCTCTACATCTACACAACCGAGATGTTTCCAACTAATTTGAGGCATTCCCTTTTGGCAGTTTGCTCGATGTTTGGCAGATTAGGCTCGATGGTCGCGCCCCAGATCCCTCTCTTGGTAAGATTAAACGAACCCTGACTCTACTCATCCTCTCTTTTTTCTCTATTCTCTCTTCACTCTGTAACATTTCAGGCTCGAATATCGCCGACTCTGCCGTTGATCATGTTCGGAGTCATGGCCTCCGCATCCGGACTGCTATCTCTTCTGTTTCCCGAGACCCTCAACACCAAATTACCGGATACCATCAGCGAAGCTGTGCACATCCAAAAGGAATAACTGTTATCCAAAACTATATACAATCTACAAGTATAATTCCCGAATAACACAAATCAAACAAACTCAATCAATGAGTATTACTACTTTTAATATTTCAATGCGTTTTATAATAAAACGCATGAAGCAATAATAATTCTAAATTCACATTGATTTGTTTGATTTGATTCATTCATTTTGTATATTGATGTATTATTGTATAATTTTGTATCAATTGCAATAAACGTTATTATTATTAATAAAATTCCAATTATATTATTTATTACTTCAACAAAATATTTCTATTATTAATATCATATTAATATTTCCAGTTCAGTGTACAAAAACAAAATACAAAAATTAATAAAAAAAAAATACAATGATTACTAAAATCACACGTTTGAATATTTCGATTTTAACGTAAACTTAATAATTAATTAATTAAGGAAGGAGTTGAAATTAATTGATTTTTTTTATTTACAAAACTACCATTGTTTGTAAAATTTTGTGTTTTTAAGATTTTTTTTTTTTAAATTAAAGTTTAATAATAGATATTTTTGGATATCAACAATGAAGTGTTAATTATTATAAAATTTAATTACTAATAAAACTCATTAAATTAGTGTTAGTATCAATTTTTGTTGAATATTTCTAAAAAAAAAATAATTTTTGTTAATTTAATTCCATTGAATTTTTATCAATTATTTTCCAATAAATTATATAAATTTTACGAATAAACAGTTCTAATAATCAATAGGAAAGTGATTGAAACCATGAATGCAATAAAATGTAATTTGATTGCTGTAATCTGCAAAAACACCAATAATCAGTTGCAACAAGGTATGATTTAACTATGTTTTCCTGAAATGAATGAAACAAAAATATTATAAAAGCAATAATCATTGAAAAAATAGATTATATACAAGTGTTTTCAGTTGATTTGAAAAATAGCATAATTTATTTACTTATTACCCCAAAATATATTTATTCATATCGACGTTACCCCCTTGATTTGATAGGGAGAAAAGGCAGGTTGTTGCAATAAGCAGTAACTTTTTGTATTGTCTTTACAAGTTTTCATCTTTTAATTTCGAATATTTTATTGTTTGCTCGTCTTGTTGCTCATCTCATACTTCTGGTTGACCGATGAATCTGTGAGATGGTTGGTTTCGAACGATAAAATTGACGAGGCTAAAGTTGTCCTGAAAAAGATAACTGGAGAGAATGCAAAAAAAGTTAGATAGTAACACTATGAAGCAGCTGAGTGCAGGTGGTACCGGGAAGGATGTTAACAACAAATCTGTAGACTCCGACGTCTTCAAATCACCGGTGCTATTCCTTAGACTGTTGAACTGCTGCTTCGGATGGGTGTGAGTAACATAGCAACATAGTCGTTGCTCTCATTGAAATTCCTGAAATTTTACTCTTTAACATCAATTAAATTGTTTATCCCAATTTGGTGTAATTTGTCCCAAACTGCTGACCTACAGCTTCGTTAATAGAAACAACAAATTTTAAGTAATATCTGACTATGTTTTGCTTCCTAAAAATTTCATCAAATCAACGATTGACCTCTAAGCCAAAATAAAGCAAACTCGCAGATAATGATAATGCATGTAAACATTTATATTACAAACTTACATTTTCTGCAGCTATTTTTAAACTGTAGAAAAAAAAAACATAAATAATGTAATCAATCGGTTTTGCCGAAGCGGCTAATTCTAAAATGGAAATAAAAATAACATTTATGTTTATGGAAAACCGCATGAAATGATCATGTGCTTTCACACTCTTATCTCCCGATTATATCCACTAAACACGTTTATCGAATCGATTACGATCCGCAATTTTAAGGACAATACTTTCACGCGGTCTTATCTAATTTCCCTCTTACAATACTCAAAAAATAATATCCGGGCGAAAAACTCTACTCAGCTCAGTCTACAGCTGAGCACAACAGAGAACAGTGTTATCGAAAATTCCGTTGACCCTGTGTTTGTGTGTCCATATCTTCCACTTTGTGCATTTTGGCGCAGAACTCTCATTCTAAATTCGTGCTTCAACCGGTCAAGTCATGTTTTCATCAACGACGAAGGTAAGTGACAGAGCAGAAAACATTTCTTTTGTTTCTTCTATAAATTTCGAGATTGAACGTCAGCGAGATGTCAGATTGATTTTTATTTTGTTGCAGATTTCGGACCTACCGCAAATGGATTCGGTGGACCTCGATAAGGTTCTCGAGGACATCGGTGGCTTCGGTAAATACCAAATCCGAAGGTACTTGCTCATCTCAGTGTTGCTGATCTTCGCAACGTTCCCTATCATTAGTTACGTCTTCACCACTCACGACTTCAACTACAGGTATGATCTTACACCTCTAGTAATCCTGAAATTCAGATTTTATTTTTTTTTTAAATTTATTTACAGATGTTATATAGAGGGATGTGAAGAAGCCCAACCACCCATCTACCATCCGAGATGGTTGAGGGACGCAGTCCCTTACGAAGGAGATGCTCCAAGCAGATGTCTTCGATACACCCAATTGGAACACATGGATGGAACCTGCGATAATTCCACCTTCGATAGATCTGAAACCATCCGATGCACCGACTTCGTCTACGAGAACATCGATGAAACTACAATAGCGAAAGATGCAAGTAAATGCAGATAAAAACCAATACCAAAACAACTGTAATTTGTGTCCTTCCTCTTCTTCCAGTTCGGCGTTCTTTGCGATGAGAACTTGTGGAAGTTGACTATAGTCGGAACCATCAACAACTTAGGCTTCATCGCCGGTTTACCCGTATCGGGTTATCTTAGCGACAGGTAAGGTCATTCATTCCAAACAAAAAAACTCAATTATGTTTGCATAAATCGGCGCGGGGTTATCACGATCGATTGGTTCATTATTCAGCAGAAATTTGCGGAGAGTGTGACTGGCTGGAAAACCACGTTGACGGCACAATTGAGCTTTCGCTTAATTGAAATACCTCCTTGGGCGAATTTTAATTGAAACAGAAAACAAACGTGCTTTGTGCATTGAATTCGAATGTAAAGCTTTGTTGGTTGCCTACTATATATCCTTTATCCTTTATAAGGATCACATTTATTTCTATTTATTAAAGATTTTTGTTTGTACAAAATTTCCTATAAATAATTGAAAAACATAATTTCATTATTTGTTTTCTTATCTCGCCCGGTAATATAGATATAATCAATCCAAAATTTTGATAAACTTTTATTATTTGATAAAATTTATAAAAAAAATAATGTATATGAATGAAATATATTTAATTTCAATTTAAATTTGGATTAATATTTTAGGTTTGGAAGACGTATCATGATGATTTTACCTGTACTCCTAAGTACAATTTTGGGGTTGATCAAATCTTTCACTCCGAGTTATTTGACTTTTATATCTGTGGAGTTTATGGAAGCTACATTAGGATCTGGAGCGTACAGTGCTTCCTACATATTAGGTATGAATTGTTGAAGATTTTATGTAAGAGTCTGAGTGGAATTTTATATATTAAGTATGTAAAAAACCTGTGTGTTTAGGAATGGAAATGTTGAGTGCTGAATATAGGGTTTTGGGAAGTACAATTTTGTCTTGTATATTTGCGCTGGGCGAGACGATTATGGGATTTGTGGCCTGGTACGTTCCAGTCTGGAGGACTTTACTGCGTTTGCTGTACGCTCCAGGATTGTTGCTCGTCTCGTACTTCTGGTTGACCGATGAATCTGTGAGATGGTTGGTTTCGAACGATAAAATTGATGAGGCTAAAGTTGTGCTGAAAAAGATGGCTGGAGAGAATGGAAGAAAGTTGGATAGTAACACTATGAAGCAGCTGAGTGCAGGTGGTACCGGGAAGGATGTTAACAACAAATCTGTAGATTCCTTCTCCGACGTCTTCAAATCACCGGTACTGTTCCTCAGACTGTTGAACTGCTGCTTCGGATGGGTGTGCGTAACGTTCGTCTACTACGGCCTCACGATGCATTCCGTCGGAATATCAGGAAATATGTACATTAATTACATAGCCGTTGCTCTCATTGAAATTCCCGGCTACGTCGCCGTCAATTACACCCTCAGCAGGATCGGCAGGAAACCTTCCCTCTCGTACTCCTTCCTGCTGAGCGGCGTCGCGTGCTTCGGCTTCGTATTCACACCAGAAAGTAAATTATTAATTGGATTTCCATTCAGTATTAAACGTTGCTAATCGGATTCTCTTCCTCCCACCACAGGTAATACAACAGTCAGATTGTGCATGTATCTATTAGGGAAATTCGCTGTTACCATGTCTTACACCAGCATCTACCTCTACACCACGGAGCTCTTCCCCACCTGCCTAAGACACACGTTCATCTCCACGTGCTCAATCTTCGGAAGGATAGGAGCCATGGTCGCACCTCAAGTTCCCCTTCTGGTAACCAAATCGAACTCTAAAAAAACACCAAAATAATCTTTGATTCTAGGCGAAAATCTACAAATCGTTACCTATGATCCTCTTCGGATCGTTAGCTTCAATAGCCGGATTATGCTCATTCATGCATCCGGAAACTCTAGGCATAAAATTACCAGACACAATCGAAGAAGCCGTCAACGTGGGCAATGAAAGTGACGTCGAAAAATCCTAATTTTACCCATTAACTTAAAACTACTGATATTATTTAATAACTCAACAAAACAAATCACTGTATTTTATTAATAAATTATTGAAATTTTCTTTCTTTTGTGTCTGTTCATCTTTATTTCTTTTTTATTTTTGTTGTTGCCGAGATCTGCGGTGAGTCCTTGGCAAGGTCAGAGATCTGTGTGAGCGCTCGACGGGATAGATATCAAAGGAGCTTTGCACTTTGTATTGTAACCAAACAAATCCATTATACAGCATTGAGCTTCCAAGTGATTGAAGTCTGCTGCGGGATCAATTCCGCATTAGGGATTGCAATTGATCCTTTCGGTCCTTGGGAAACATGTAATGCAATGTGATTTTCCGTTTTTGAAGAAGCTTTGCGTTTCGCTCTGCGGAAAATGTGCAGGCTTAGGAATTAAGTGTGCTGAGAGAGAGAAGAGAGGTGTTCTGCATCGATCTGTAATGTCCGGAACGAAAGCTGACGGTGTTAATGTTCGGAAATCAGCTTTGTCTATGCTTCAGTCAATTCGCATCTTCTTTCAGTTAATTATTTCTATTTTTAACTTTTATACCTACTCATCATTTTACGTTTAGTACAAGCATAAATATAATTTAAAGAAGATTGTTTTCTGTAGAAATTAAACAAATTACTTTCAGACATCGTTGGGTTTCAGTTGTGGTAAAATGTATTTTCCTAATGAATTGCTACATTTCCGAAAGATTTAAATAGAATAGCCTTGACTTTAAAAGCTGTTCATCTTTTAAATTTGGAACAGTAATTACTTCTGAAAGATCTATAAATATGACGTTGATGTGTGTGTTTTTTTTTAATGGAACTTTAAAATAGTTTCAATCATCGTTGGATTTGCTGGATACACACACAAAACACATATATCTTAATTACCAACTAAAATATTTCACAAGCATTGTTCGAAACGTTCATTTATCCTGACCCTACTCCTCATTCATCCTTTTATATCAAAGTTCCCTTTTCCTGCTCGTTTTTCCACTGCTTCTCTCTACTTTTTTTCTTCTACTTCATACATCTCTTCGTCTCGTTCTCCCAGAGATAGGCAAATAATATTACAAACAGATGGAAAGTGAACGGGGGCGGCTCCGAATAAAGGCGCCCCCGCCGGAGCCCTTCGTAAAGAAATTGAACGATTGTGCGTCTGACAAAAGGCACAGGAAAGGAAGTAGAAGGAGAGAGAGAAGGGTGGAAGATAACAGGATTCATTTATCAATCTTTTACTTTCTCGTGCTGCCCGGAATCCCCTTTTTGAAATTAATAAACGCGGAATCCGCATCCATCCTCGCTGCTGCTTCGTTGTTAATAATACTAAGAAGGAAGGAAGGAAGAAGCGAAACAATTCATGCAGTGGCCTGTGGAAAACAGTCATTTGCTGACGCTTATTAAGCGCGCTTCATTCACACGAATAATTGGATGCAAATAGCAAACTTTTAATTGGCACTGTTTTGTTCCGATTCTGATTCCGAGAATTGGCTTCAATTTAAACGTAAAAATTTTCAGAAAAAATATGAAAATATAAACGGTTTGATTATTACTCAATATTTCAACGCAAATTACAACTAAGTGAATTAATACACTTTTATATATAACTTCTGATTAAATTCATCAAATATTAAACGTTAAAATCAATAGATTTGCTGAAAATTATAAAAATGTAAACTTTTTATTTTTTTTATTCCTAAATTATTCAATGGATTAACACAGATTTTAATATAAATACTCATTATATTCCACAAATATTTTAATGTGCATTTTTTTGGTTAAATTACAGCTTTTAAGCACTATAAACGTAGAAACTTTTTTTTTGGACAATTTTATTAATTTTTTTATTTTTGAACAAAAATTACAAATAACAATCATTGAATTGTCGTATAAGATAATGAATGCCTGCATTTTATAAATTTTCACCTTGCGACTTCTCAACTATATATTATTTCCATATTTCTATAAATTATTTCCAAATGTTCAAAACATTCCTTATTCCAATCAATCATTGAATTATCGTATAAAATAATGAAATAATGACTGCAATTTGTAAATTTTCACTTTACGAATTCTCAACTTACGAATTTATATACTTTTACTAAATTTTCAATACTTCCCTTATTCCAATCAATCATTGAATTAATGACTGCATTTATTTTAATTTTTGAACAAATATTATAAACAAACAAATCAAAACCACATTTACATATGAATAGTCCTTACATTCCCCAAATATTCAATTTAAATAAGCATTTTTCAGATCAAATCATAGATTTAGCTATTAAAAAAAAAAAAAACGAAAACTTAAATTTTTCAGTATTATTTTTTCATTATCTAATTTTTGAATACCAAACATATATGAATACTCATTACATTCCTGAAATAAGTAGTTTCATTATGTATAATTTGATTCCTATCATTGTTTAAGCGATATCTAGAAAATCATGAAAAGTTTTTCAGTATTTTATTTATTTTTTTAATTACAAATTATTACCATACAGACATAGACACAATTATAAATTAATACTCTTTATATTACAGAAATATCCAGTTTTAATATGCATAAGTTAAATTTATTCTAAGTATTTTGGTTTTCTATAAATTCACTAAAAACTTTACGATTTCGCAACTTACGAATTTATAAACTATTTCCAAATTTTCAATACGTCCCTTATTCCCATTAATCATTAAATTAATGTAATTAATGACTGTATTTATTGAATGTTCACTATGCGAATTCTCAACTTACGAAGTTAAAATCTACTTCTAAATTCTATATAAATCCAATCAATCATTGATTACAATACTGATGCAATCAAAACAATTATAATTACAGATGTCAATAAAATATTATTAGTTTGAATTTGAAATCGCACTAGATTATTTAAGACTTAATTGTTTCAGTCTTTTGATTCATTTATAAATAGTCCTTACATTCCCCAAATATTCAATTTAAATAAGCATATTTCAGTTCAAATCATAGTTTTAGCTATTTCCAAAAAGGCAAAACAAAAAATGCTATTTTTCAGTATTATTTTTTCATTATCTAATTTTTGAGTGACAAACACATATGACTATTCGTTACATTCCTGAAATAAGTAGTTTCATTATTTATAATTTGATTCCTATCATAGTTTAAGCAATATCTAGAAAATTATGAAAAGTTTTTCAGTATTTTATTTTTATTATTTAATTTTTTAATTACAAATTACTACCATACAGACATAGATTGAGAGATATATGAATACTCGTTATATTACAAAAATATCCAGCTTTAATATGCATAAGTTAAATTAATTTTAAGTATTTTGGTTTTCTATAAAATCACTAAAAACTTTCATGTACACTTGGTTCCTTTTTTATGCGGTAGATACGTTCCACAGGAAAACGAATTAATTTTAAGTATTTTGGTTTTCTATAAAATCACTAAAAACTTTCATGTACACTTGGTTCCTTTTTTATGCGGTAGATACGTTCCACAGGAAAACGCATAAAAATAAATCGCACAAAAAAGGACTAACACGTATAAAATAAAGGAACGTTCCATATTTATTTACAAGAACTCGCATAAAAAAATCGCACAAAGTGCTGAACACCGTTTGTATAAAAATAAAGGATACGTTCCATAATTTTTTTAAAACCGCATAAAACTAAATCTCAGTTACAATATACCGAAAATCGCATAAAAAATGGTTTATTAAATTTCAGAAAAAATAATTAGTCTTACTATATTCTTTCTGAAATGGTTATTCATAATTTTATAAAAACGTTAACAATCATAGACAAGTTTATTAAAT